GAAAAGGTTCCCTTGCCACCTTCTCAAAACAGTGCTGTTCTCTCCCCCCACACCGCATTCCAGAAGCAGATGCTGTAGGCCTTGGCATTCCAGCAGGGAGAGAGGGGAGAGTGGAGATAATAAAAACTCGAAGGGGAGAACAGGAGATGCCTTTTGCCCCTGGAGGCCCAATGCATCCCATCGTAAAAAAAGGGATCCTTTTCTTTTAATCCTTCCACTGCCTTGGCGTTCTTGGGAAGAATACCTGTGTATGTATGATGGGATACAGATGGGATAGGGATGAGAACAGGGATGGGAACAGGGACGGGACAGGGATGGGATAGGAATGGGGACAGGGATGGGATAGGGATGGAAACAAGGATGGGAAAGTGATGGGATAGGGCTGAGGACAGGGATGGGATAGGGATGGAAACAGGGATGGAATAGGGATGAGAACAGGGATGGGGACAGGGGTGGGACAGAGATGGAACCATGGCTTGGGACAGCTGGGATTCCCTGGATCCAGGGATGGGACAGCCGGAATGCCCCAGGGCAGATCCAGGGAACATCACCAGGCTCAGGGACAGCCAGGACATGCTGGTGCAGATGGCAGGGACATACCTGTGCAAACTGTGCAGGGATGTGTTGAGGCTTCAGGCCTCATCAGTGGCACAGGAAGAGCCCCACCACCTTGGGAAGGTTCTGCAAGCCTCATCCTGTGGGACACAAGGCAGGATGAGCAGGGTGGGTGACAGCTGGGTCCCTCCCAAAGAGCTGCTCCACACCCGTAGGTGAGTGTGGCACCAAGGTTGTCCCTGTCCCTCCCACAGGAGGTCTCGTTCCCCCATCCCACCCTAGTCAAAACCACAATGTTGCCACCCCACTTAAATACTCAAATCTTCAGGTTTTAACCCTAAAATTTTAAAAATGAAGTGTTACAGCCTGTCCTGAGCAAAGGCAGTGGGGGGGGAGGAGAGGTGGAGCACAAGACAGAGTTTAACTCCCTGTGACATTATTCAGTGACTGCAGAATAAACCCAGACAAATAAACCCCAAAATTTATTATGAAAACACCATTAAAAAAATCAGACTTTACACACATGATCTTCCTGGGACCTAAAACTATGCTTTTGGGGAGTTTTAAGCTTTCTTTATCCTAGGAGGGAGGGGGAGTTCTCCTGATTTCCCTGGCTACAAATGATCCCTGAGTCAGTTTCCCTTCTGGGAACACCCCACATAACACTGATATTTCCCTCTCTCCCCATTAATCCCTTTTTAAACCCTTTTTAAACCCACTCCCAGTTAACCACCTTCTTCTCCCACCGACAGATGGCCATCAATGGCACCAAGAAACAAGCAATAAATATCCATCATAAACTTGGGTTCTCCACCCTGTGAGGGGGGAAGATCAAGGCAAACCCAAGCACTAAAAAGAAATAAAATAAGTAAGGAAATAGTTTCCTATCAGCTCATCTCAGCCCAGGATATTTGGCAATATTGCTGGGAAAACTGGAGCATTGCAGATCAAAGCACCCGGCACATTTACACTTCAATAAGGCCCTGAACAAACAGATGTGTGGGTGATACCCAGCTCTCTTTGTTCCCTAAGAAGGCTGAAAAGTTCCATATATCCAAGGGGATGATAACTTCTATGGGTGGTTTTTTAAGTCCTTGAGTCTGTGGGTTAATTAAAGAGAGGGTTTAGCTTCATTTGGTCACTCTCCTGAGACCCTCTGCAGAGAGGGAGGGCTTAAAATGAGGGATTTGGTTAAAACCATGTGTGGATCCCAAACCCACAGGATCCCTGCTCTCAATTAGGCCCTCAGATTATGCTTTTCATGCAGGTTTATCCAAACTCTACAGCAAAAACTCAGGTCTTTCCCCCGAAACCAAGGACCTGCAATGTTAAAACACAAATAGCACAGCCAACGAACACCACCTGGGGAATCCTTCTGTAATGGAAGCGTTTGTGGAGGAGGTGGGAAAGGGATCAATTAATTACTAGAGAGTGCCTTGGTTTTAGAAGTGAGGTGAGGAAAGCAGGGGTTTGGCTGTCAGATTGTCACTGTGGCATTTTGGGATGGTTTCTTGTGCAGATGCCGAGTAAGGAGGCGGGTGAGGTGTTGCTCCCCATTCTTAATGGGCTTGGATGGGTTTTTATTCCACTTGCAGCAGAAAATTAAGGGTTAGAGGGAAGCAAAGCCCTGGGACAGACATCTCTGCCCCCTTGGAGGACAGTCAGGAGGTGATGTCCCTTCCAGTGACAGCTTTGGTGGCTTCTCAAGAAATTCCACAGAGTTTTTTCTCCTTGACTCCAGACCCCTAAGTCATTTCCTTACAATTCTCAACCCTGATTAACCCTTCCCCAGGTTAATCCCTGAGGGTGGAGCCCTGCATATCACCAGATACCTGTATTTGTGTCTGTGTTTGCACTTGGCCCCACGGTTTCAGGGGAAAACCAGCAGCTTTTGTTCCTTATCTCCTCTGGTTTTCTGCCTCCCCCATCTCTCTGTATCATGTTTGAGTTATGGTTATTAAATAAGCTGTATGCTCCAAGCATTCCAAGTCAGGTTTCCATGGCTTTTCCAGCCTTTGCTGCTCATGATTTAATTTCTCAGACTCCTTGCCCACACACTCTGGGCAGACAGGAAAACCACAGAGGGCAGGACAGGAAAACTGCAGACCCAGGAATTGCACTCGTGGTGTTGGCTGTCTTCCCTTCGCCTCCCCTTGTGATTCAGTGAGGCTGGATTTGGATGCCGCCGTGGATCTGAGGGGACAATTGCAAGGAAGGAGCCAAGAGAAACCACCTTTAAAGCTTCAAGGTGTGAATTGGCAAAACCTCACTCGAGACAACACTGAGCCCAAAGTGCCATCTCCGCAGCCAGAACAAGGATTCAACAACCTCTAAGGTGCCAGCCCCGATGTAAATCACTTTTATCCCATTGCTCCAGCCACTAGATCCCACAGATTTTAAAACCATGGCGAAGGCCTTGACTGGCTTCATGCAGGTATGGAGATGGCCTCATGCCCAGCGATGAGCAGACGGAGGGAATGTTGGTGCTCACTGCTTGGGGAAACTAATGATTTTTGGGAAAGAGAAGGATGGGAACATGCTCCCTGCTCCGGGCGAGCCCGGCCTGGGATGACAGCGCAGATAGAGGAGGGGGAGGGCCTGGCCAGCTATAAAAACCAAATCCTCAGAGCCAGTGGCATCGGAGCTGCAGGTCCAGGAGGGGTAAGGAGAGTGGGACTTTATTGCCCTATTACTCATCTGGCAGCTCAGAGGGTGGTGGGGGAAGGCTGTGAATAGAGAGCTGCTTCATCAGCTCCAGGCAGGATCAGCCATCATGTCTGTGACAAGCGCTGCATCCCAAATCCAGGCTAAAGGCCCTATGAGGAGCCACAGGGGCACGGTGACGCCTTCACAAGGCTGTGAATCCATAGTGACACGAATGTCACCATGAGGCATTGCCAACCAACCAGTTCCATGCCCTTGGTGTGGGCACTGGGGGAATTCCTGTCCTGCCCCTGGTTCATCGCCCATCTTTGCTGTTCCCTCTCCAGAGCAGCCCCAGGATGAGGAATCTCCTCCTTGCTGTGCTCCTGGCTTGTGGTAAGTGCCCCACTGTCCCCAGGACACACCGGGATCCACCTGTCCACCTCAAGATTTGGGAACAATTCAGGTTTTTGTTTAAACTTTGTGGTTTCACTCCAACACTTCGTGTAGCGCTGCTGGAGTCCTGGAGGGCTTTGTGACGGGGAGGCTTTGGGATGCCCAGATCCATATTTATTTTACGGGGCCCTGGAGATTGCTGGAACATTTCCTGCCTGTGCCAAGCCCATGGCTGATCCTGGTGATGGGGGATTGCTGGTTGCAGCATGGCTTGTGGGCTTGTTGCCTGACCAGACCGCAATACCTTCTGCCAGACTGAATCCAGGGGGTGCAGAAGCCAGACATTTTCCCTGTTTAGGTGGTGAGGCCCTGGCACAGGTTGCCCAGAGAAGCTGTGGCTGCCCCAACCCTGGAAGTGTTCAAGGCCAGGCTGGATGAGGCTTGGAGCAACCTGGGCTAGTGGAAGGTGTCCCTGCCCATGGCACGGGGTGGAATGAGATGGGCTTTAAGGTCCCTTCACTCCCAAACCATTCTGGAATTCCATGATTCTATAATCCTTGGGAGGTATTAGGGCTCCTCATGGTTCAAATTCCTGAAAGTGTGTTTCTAGCAATGCCAGACTTATTTAATTCCCTGCCAGGCGTGAGGTGTCGGGAACACCACCAGCCTCCTCACTCTGCACTGGCACAAGCCCCATCCGTCTGCCTCTCCACAGGGTTGCTCCCAGCTGGCACCAGTGTCCTGGAGCTGGTGCGGATGATCAGGTCGACCACAGGGAAGAGTGCCCTGCTCTCCTACAGCTGGTATGGGTGTTTCTGCGGCATCGGGGGCAGAGGGACCCCCGTGGATCCCACCGACCGGTGAGTATCTGGAACAGCATCACCACTCACCACCCCCAGCGAAGGGCAGTCCCTAAAAAGCCCCTCCCTGGCAGCTCCTGTGCTCTGAGATGGGGGTTTGCCCTGTTCCCCAGCCATGTCCTGCTGCTGCCTGACCATCCTCTCCTCCTGGTCACCTTAAATTTGAGGCTGGACCTTCCTTTACCCTCCAGGTGTGGTGAGGGAGGGTTGGGGGGCCACAGTTTGACATGGTGTCCCCACAGGTGCTGCCAAGCCCACGACTGCTGCTACAGGAGGGTGAGGGAGGGCAAGTGCAGCCCCTTGATCACCCCGTACACCTTCACCACTGATGACGGACACATCACCTGCAGTGAGTATAGAACAGGGGTTCCATGGAGGTGGGGGACCAGCACCGCTCCCCATGACACCCCATCCCCAGAGCAGGGCACTCAGGAGGGCAACCCCTGGGGTGAAACCAGCCTGATTCCTGTCCAGGTTTGATAATTAAATGAGCATTGCAAGGGATGCAACAGGTCGGAGAGAGCAAGCACTGGGACACACTGTTTCATCCACTTCCCCCAGGAAGCTCCAGGCACTGGGGGTGTCCTGAGGGGACCCCACCAGAAAAGCCACTACAGGACACTGTATTTCCACCCCACAGGTAACAAGCAGAGCTGGTGTGAGAGAGAGACTTGTCTGTGTGACAAGGCAGTGGCCTCGTGCTTCGCGAGCACTCTGCCTTCGTACAGTCATTCCTACCGCTTCTACTTCAAGCTGAAATGCCAAGGAGACAAGCTCCAGTGCTGAGGAGGGGGAATCTGCACACAGAGCTCCAGATTTTGTCTGGTTTCCCCCACTGCTGTGGCAAGAAAAGCCTGGGGTGGGGGCTGAGCAGAAGCAGAGCCCACGAGGCTCCCTGCGAGGTGCTCAGGGGGAGGAAGGACACACATCATGAATGGAGACCCCCCACTTCTCAGAAAGACACACCAACGTCCTCTTTTTTGTCCCTTCCTCCTCCCTTGATTTCATTTCCCAGCAAAGATCATAAACACCTACAATAAAAGGAATGCAAACTGATTCTGTGGTGTTTTTCTGTAAGGGCCACTGAGATTGAGGCACTGCAATGGTGGCTGCTGAGTTTGGGGAGCACTTCTGCATCCCACACCTCAGCCACACCCTCTGCCCATCATCCCAATACTTCCACAGTCCCAACAGGGTTGTAATTCACAGGTCTACCCCAATGTGGAGCAACCTGGGATAGTGGAAGGTGTCCCTGCCCATGGACCGAGACAAGCTTTAAGGTCCCTTCCAACCCAAACCATTACAGGATTCTATGAAAATTAAGGCTAAAGAATAGCCATCCACAGAGGAGGGAAGATTTCAAAACCATGACCAGCTAAATTAGGTGGATGCTAATTTAGGAGGGCAGTTGGTGACTGAGTGGTTTCTGCAGAAGAGCTGTAATGAGGGTGTGGAAAAATCATATAGAATAAAATAAGGGAAGTTGCATTTGCTCACCACAAAACATTCATTTTGATTCATTTTTTTCTCACAGTGAGGGGGGGTTTAATCATCCAGTGTCTGCCTGACCTCATGTCTCCGGGAACTGCACATTTAGAGGTACTTTCAGTTTGCCCACAGACTTTCCCCAAAAAACAGATAACTCACCCTGAACCAGTTTTGCAGAGGGTCAGTTCCCAAACTGTACAGCCCCTTGAAAATCCCAAACCTGCTTCATTCCTACCAAGGCTGAACCAGGGTTGTTCTTTTCCCCCATACAGCTCTGTGGCGCTGGGAAGGACAAAGTAAAAGATCTTCAGGCATTTCTGACCAGGATTAGGGTGTGTTGGCTTCCTCCTCAGGCTGGAAGTGATGATACTTTGCCACCTCATCCCACCCAGCACCAGCCCCCGTGTGTGAGGTACAGAGCTGGGGCATTGGGGGGATTTCTGACACTCCTGTAAAGGGGAAGAATGGCGCCTTCTCCTTTGCAGAAAAACCCAGTCAGCAACATTTGAGTCAAAGGAGCCCCAAACAGATGGGAGCAAACCCTATATAAAGCAAGCCCAGCTGGCTGCAGGCCATTGCAAGCCAGCAGCAGCTTTCCCAAGGTAAGTGGGGATGGAGGAATGCTTTCCCTCCCTTTCCTACTTTAACCAGAAGCAAGATGGGAGCAAAATCCATGCTGTGAAAGCAGGAGCAAAGGAGATGCTACTTGAGATGCCAGCCTGGAGGAAGAGCAGTGGGTGCAGCCCTCAAGGGCTGATAATTCCTCCAACTTTTCTCCCTTTCTCTTCATTTTGCTTTTTTCCACCACTGCACCATCCGATTCCCATGACTTTCCCTCCCCAGTGCTTTGTGCTGAAGCAACGGGTGCATCTTCACCGCCCTCATTTTCTCTAGTCCATAGAGAGGGGGAGCATCTCTGCTCCCAGATAAGGAGAGAAAGAAAGAAGGGTAGCAGGGAATGGTTTGGTTTTGGTATAACAGGGAATGGTTTGGTTTTCTCTCCCAGGGGTGTCAGAAGGATGAATTGTCTCCTGGGCCTCTCTGTGCTGTTTGCTTGGCGTAAGTGTCCTCAGCCCCATCAGTCCCACGGCTCCCTGTGCAGTTACATCTGTGGAAATTAGAACCAGGCTGGTGATTTCTTCACCTTTTCCCATCACCACCTCTCCCAAATATGCAATAACTCTCCTGCAAGCTGGGAACAAATTCCCTCTCCACTGTCTTATAATTTCCAAGACATCACCACCTTGGTGCCAGTTTGGGGGCTGGAGGGATGGAGATGCTGCGAGGGGGCTGGGAATCAGCATGATCCCCCTGATTTTCCCTCCCCAGGCTTGTCCCCAGCCCACGGGAGCCTCTTGCAGCTGCACAACATGATCACGGAGGTGACAGGGAAAAACGCTCTGCTGCACTATGCCTTCTATGGCTGCTACTGCGGCCTGGGGGGCAAGGGGCAGCCCAAGGACGCCTCAGACAGGTGAGAACCCACCTAAAACCCCCCTGTCTGAACACATCCTCGAATATTTTCAAATTTGAGGAGCGAGGGAGGGAAAAGCCCAACCCCTAAAGCTTTGATCTCCCCTGCAGGTGTTGCCAGCTACACGATACCTGCTACCTCGGCCTCCTGAGCCACGACTGTGACGCCAAGAAGCAGAGCTACCACTACAAGGGGCACCACGGCAGCCCCTCCTGCAGTGAGTAGGACCCAGGAAAAGAGGGTGTTAGTCCATCCTAAAGGCAGGTCTGACCCTGGGCTCCCCTCTTCCCACAGGAAAGGACTCCTGGTGCGCTCAGCTCTCCTGTGAGTGCGACCGCAGCCTGGCGCTGTGCCTGAAGAGAAACGTCAGGAGCTACAGGAAACGCTACCAGTTCTATCCCAACTACCTGTGCAAGTGATAGGAGCCGAAATTTGGAGCTCCCTGCACTCCTGCCTGTGCTGCTGTAAATTTAAGTAAAATGAAAATAAACAATGTGCTTAAACCACCCCGTCCTCTGAGAGCTGCTGCTGCTGCTGGGCAGGGAGAGAAATCCCTGTAAATAATCAACATCTTCCCAAAACTTTCCAAGAACTCGGTCCCTGCGTCACTCCGGGTTGCAGCCCACGGGGCGAGGGGGGTTGGCCGGCGATGGAAGGGGCGTAGCGCTTGGTGTTTTTCGGACAGAGGAGCAATTTCGGCGCTTTCAGTTCAGAGCCCGCGGGCGAGACACGGAGGGCAGGCTCTCCTCGGGAGGACGGACTGGCAGTGAGGGAGATCCCCCGGTGAGCAACTCCCCCCTCTCCACCTCCCTGCCATGGAAACAAAAATGGGGGGGGGGCGGGATGTCGGGAGGAGGCAGCGGGAACGCTGCCTTCTGCTGGGAGGGAAGAAAAGTGTAGGGAAAGTGTCATTGTTCCCAGATAAAAACCCAGCTGGGACGTTGCACCACAGGGGGAGAAGTGTCAAAAGGGGTGGGACAGGAGGTGGGGAATGTTGGAATCGTGGGACAGGTGGTGGGACATGCTTAGGTGGTGGGATAGGGGGTGGGAGCTGCTGGGGTAGTGGACATGAGGACTATGTTTCGGTGGTGGGACAGGAGGTGGGGGATATTAAGGTGGTGGGACATGGAGTGGGGATGCTCAGGTGGTGGAACAGCCTCAGAAACCACTTGCTGTCAGCCAAGAGGCAGCAAAACAGATGTGAGGAGCCCTAGTTGCTTTCTTCATTCCAAATTTTGGGGTGATTTCACCCAATTTCAGAGAGGAAGGTATGCATGGCAGCACCAGCCAAGCTGCCTGGCTGAGCCTGTCCTCTGTTTTTCCTCCTAGGCCCAGGTGAGAGGAAAATGAAGGTCCAGCTGGTGCTGACAATGCTGTTTGCCTGCAGTAAGTACATCCCCGACCCACACAGACAGGAGCCAGGCCCCATCCCTGTGCCAATGTGCATCCCCAAACTCCTGTGCACTCCTCAGGGGGACTCCCTATCTCCTCCCCCGTTCCCCAGGCCTCATTTCTGCATGTAACTTACAAAAAAATCACTTTTTCTGGCCACTCCAGGTGTGTTCACAGCTCATGGGAAGCACCCACGTACCTTCACACCGGGACTCGAGGGAAGCACTGTAGGAAATCTGACTGCCCACGGATGCTACTCGGGATGGGGCACCTCAAGGGCTTCATTGGACCGGTACAGGCAATGCTGCCCCAGAGGGCTAACGCTGGCCCTGGGGTAACCCCAGGGCTGTGCACAACCCCCTCAGCCCACCCCGAAGCTTTGCAAAGTGCAGACCAGGTGCTGGGCAGCAGCAGGAAGGGAACAGGTTTTTGGGAAGCAGGGAAAGCTCAGTGCTCACCCCTAATTCCAGCCCCGCAGTCAGGAGGGTGGTGCCAGTGACAACTGCCTGGTTCATGGGATGGCACCAGTGGAGAGGGATGGTCCTGAAGCCAGGATGCTGGGCAGGGCTTGCACAGGGAAGAAGAGGCATGGGAATGGGCTGGAAAGAGCAGCTGCTGGGCAATTCAGAGCAGAGGATGCAAAACTGGTGGCTCTTCCCGCCCAGCTCGCAGAGCCTGCGTCAGGTAGGTCAGAAGCAGCCGGTGCCACATTGCCGATGAGTCCAGGCTCTCCTTCTCCCTGCAGGTGCTGCCGGCTCCGTGCCTGCTGCTATGCCAAGCTGGCGGCTCGGCGGTGCCCCGTGGGACCCTTCCAGCCCCTCTCAGCACCCCAGGCAGGAATCCCCACCTGCAGTGAGTCCTCACCCCCTTGCCTCGGGATGCCCCTTTCCAGACCATCTCCCTCCCTTGTGGTGTCCTTTTTTGGGCAGTCCCCGGGAGATACGCCCAAATGAAGGTCTCAGGTGTGCTGTGCGGTCCCTGCAGGGTCGGGGACGTGGTGCCAGAGAAGTGCCTGCAGGTGCGAGCGGGCGGCCCTGCTGTGCCGGATGCGCGGCCAGAGGCTGCTCCGGCGCCGCATCAAGTGCCGGGGACGAGCCGGGAGGTGCTGAAGCAAAAAATTCCCTTTGCAAAACCACCTCCGGGCTGATCCGCGAAGGGACGGCGCCGGCAGCGCTTCCCAGCCCTGGCGAGTCTCCTCCTCGGGGCTTTTTGGCTTTGGCACGAGGACAACAACCCTCCGGTGAAGTTGCGTCAGTGTCCACTGGATCTGAGGAGGGGGAGCAGCGCTGACGCGATGTTTCAGCACAGCAAAAAAGGGAGGGGTGGACACCTGCCCCTCGTCCCTGTGAGGGGCACAGGGAACCAGCGGGAGCGTCTCCCCTTGGCTCCGGCTCCCCCGCAGCCTGTCCGCTCTCTCTGCTTCTTGCTTCACCTTCTGTTGCTCCAAATAAAAACAGAGAGCCCAAAGCAGCAGTTCTCAGTGTGCCGTGACTCAGCTGAGCCCAGCGATCACCCCTCGCCTCTCAGACAGGTTTCCTGTTGAAATACCTGGAAAAAATTACACCTGAGAGGTGACACAATTCCCACCGAGGTGCAGCCGCACCCCTGAACTGCCCCACTTAGCCCCGAGCCTTCAGGCTCTGAAAATGTCCAGTTTTTTTCTGAGATGGAGAAGTGGAAGCGGGTGGAAGGGCTGGAGCAGGCGTGATGCTGTGGGAGGGATCGGGCTTGGAGTTCAATGATCCTTGTGAGTCCCTTCCAACTCGGGATATTCTAAGATCCCCTGAACCTCTGCTGTGCCGGGGTGGCCGGGAGCTTGCCTCACACCAGCACAGAGCAAAACAGACTTCTCACCAGAAAAGAATGTTTTGGCCCGATTCTGCAACAACCCTGAGCACATCCCTTAGGAAAAAACCTCCCCACTGCGCATGTTTTGTGCCCTGCAGGGTTGACCCCCAGGAGGTCTCGGTGCTCCAAACCCCCTTGGGGCTCTGCAATGAAATAAAGCCACAGAAACAGCAACAAAACACTATTTCCCCAGGGGCTGATGCCCAGCTGGAATTCCCTCCCTGGCTTGCCCCAAAGCTGAAGTCAATGGGGCCGGGCAATATCCCTTACATCAGTGATGCTTCCCACCAGCTGTCACCCAGGAATCAGGCCCTTCCACCCTGCTTTTCCTCCTCCAGCACCACGTAATCTTGGGGAGACGAGGAAGGAGTGGGCAGCCTTTCACCCAGCAGCTGCTGTTTGCAAGGCACAAATCAAGGATCAAATCCTCACCTACAGGATATCCCAGACAGATTTCAGGCCAAGATAAACTCTCCCTTTGTAAACTCTGGGTGAATTTTAACTATCCATGTATTTTCCTCCTTGGAGGTCTGACTGTACAAATCCATTCATACAGAGCTCCAAGTGCTGATGTGTTGGCTCAGACACATGGCAATCAATTGGGTTGGAAAAGTTGTGGGTTTGTACTGTGAAACAAAATCCACATCCTTCCAGGAGGCATTTGGCCCTGTTGGGGCTTATTTCCCATTTGGAGAAAGGATACTGCAAACCTGGCACAGGTAGAGGGGCTGGGGTGGAGAGGCTTTCACGTGGGGCTCAGCCAGTTTGATAAGAATATACCTTATTTCTCAGCGATAAAACTGGTTGTGGACTCGGAAAATCCTGAATTATGGCAAGTCCTGGTTCAGGTCATTAACTCAATGATGTCCAAGGGGTCTGCTTAAATTAGCCCAGAGAGCTGATGAGACAAACATCTCATGCCAGAAGGGGGAACAGATGGTGCTGAGCTAACTTCCCTTTTCTCACCACCTCTCTGATTCCCACACAAGTCCCTGTTCCCTGCCTCAGTTTCCCTACCAGCCACGGGGGGATTTCCTCCCCTGCCGGCCCATGCTGGGGTTCTCCAGAAAGCAGCACAGAGCACTGGGCACCTGCAGTATCTGACAGAAGAAGTCTGCTAAATGATTGTTCAGCATCATCTATTTAATTAGAGATTCTCTCGGAGCAAACGACAACCAACCTCTCTTTTTCCCCTTCCATTAATACACCACTTGCATTTTTTTCCCTTATGCTGCCACTTGCCTTCTTTTGCTTCTAAATAAAGGTGAGCCAGACACCTCATGCCATGGGCTCATCTTTTTGAGAGCAAAACACAGTGCCCAGCATACACAGGGAGAGAGACAGAGCATCCCCATGTGCAAGGGGCATTTGGGACCTCAGAAGTCCCCACTACCAAAAAACCCCACCATATGTGGCCTCAGCTCAGCCCTATCTCCAGCCACAGCCATTCTGGCGGACCACAGGATCTTCCTTTGCTCCCAGTGTTGCAACTCACACACTCTGGTAAGTCAGAAGTGGAGGATGCTTTGCACTGGCTGCCTTTTTTCCCTGCCCAGTTAAGTCAGGATGGAAACACTAAGACATAGAATGGTGTTTTCTAGCCAAGACATCAAAAAATTAGTATAGGCATCCAGGAAGAAAGTGAATCATGGGATCACAGAATGGTTTGAATTGGAAAGGACTTTAAAGCTCATCTCATTCCACCCCCTGCCATGGGCAGGGACATCTTCCACTAAGTGGTTCCTGTTCTCCCTCAGGTTTTCCCATTTTGCTCAGGGAGGCACTGAGATGCTGAGATACCCAGAGCCACGCATGGAGCTGACCCCAGTCTACCCTACTCATCCCAGTCCACCAAATCCTCCCCTGCCAAGGGCTCCAGCAGTATAAGGCACCCCACAGCTGGGACCTCCAGCAGTGCCAAGGGACTTGCACATGTACCAAGAGTGATATGGTGAAGATTGTCAATATTTGCCCTCCAAAGGAGGGGCCTTGCCAAAGGTACACAGTGACTATAAAAGGTGTGACCGGCAGCATGTCAGGTTCACCAAACCCCGGAGCTGCCACTACCAGACATGAAGCTCTTCTCACTGCTCCTCTTCTGTGAGTAACCCCCTGCCAGCTCCCATCCTCCAGGAAAGTCTGGTGCTCATGGGTTCTATCCATGGAGATGGGAAGGGCGAAAATGCTCATTTTTGTTGTGGAAGGGTAGGATAGGAGGTTGCTTTTCCCAGTGCTCCTAAACAACTTCTCCAGTTGTAGGACTGGCCCTCGCCAGCTGCAACATGCTCCAGTTTGGAGCGATGATTAAGCACAAGACCGGGAAATCTCCGCTGTCTTACAATGGCTACGGCTGTTATTGCGGCTTGGGGGGATCCAAAAAGCCCCTGGATGCCACTGACAGGTAAGCTGGGACCTGGTAAAGGCAGAGCAGGTGTCCCAGCCCTCCCCACCTCCCTGGGTACAGCGAGGGGAATCTTGCCCTGCTTCTGGGAGCAGAGAGCAATGAGAAAATTGTTGCTTATCCTTAAAGCCTCTCTAAAAACATTTTAGCAGCAGTAGCCCATGGGAATGATGCGTGTCATTGATGTTCAACCAATGTAGGGTTGTCCCAACTGTCCCCCATCCTGACTTGACCACGGCTCCTGTGCTCTCAGGTGCTGCCATGCCCACAATTGCTGCTATAAGAAGTTGGCTTCCTCACACTGCAGTCCCAAAGTGGTCACCTACAAATACTTCCTCCAGGGAAGCCAAATAACCTGCGGTAAGAGCCGGTGCAGGGGCAAAGCTCCAAGTGGGAAGGCACATACCATCCATGCTTGTATTCCAAGGTGTCCTTTAGACAATCCTGGCCTGGCAACCACTCAGAGAGAGCAAGGGGGGTGGAAATACAGGGAAAGTGCCAGGAACAGGGCAAATAAATATTTGCTGGATTATGGTGAGGTTTAGAGCTTGGAGACCTCCCTAAGGAGGGGCCTTATCCTTCCCTAGAGGCCAAATACTGAGGGTCTGAGGTGACCCTCCCATCCTGGACAGGGACCTGGCACAGGCACCCCAATTTCCCCACAGCCAACACATTATTTCACATACCAAAATAAAGCATATCCCTATGATCCAAGCAACTATCTGCACACACCCCAGGGATAAAGTGAATTAAAGGGTCCCTCCAGGGCCAGGTAGCTCCACACACCAGAGGTGAGAGTACCTGAGACACCCCAAATTTAACCCAGGGGGCTGCGTATGCAGTAGAGATGGTCCAAAAAACACCCTGTGACTCTCCCACCCTTTGCCTGCATCCATGCCCCCCAAATTTTCTTCCAGGAACTGGGAACCAGTGCCAAACAGTGACCTGTGCATGCAACAAGAAGGCAGCTGAGTGTTTCCAGAGGGCAGCTGGGACCTACCACAATTCTTACAAGAATTATCCCAACTTTAAGTGCAAGGGCTGAACACCTTCCTGCTGAACACACCAGGGTCAAAACCTGACAGAATCCATGGAAATGGTGGGGGTTCTGCGTTCCCTGCAGCCAGGCAGGACACGGCAGAGCCCTGCGGCACCAAAAAGGTGTCCAGCACCTTTCCCTGGAGCCAGTGCACACGGAAAACCTGCTCCCCATGATTAAATAACTCATAAAAATGGAAACCCTGCAAATAAAGATACATTTTCAAAGGAAATTTGGAAAGCATCTCCAGGGTTGTGTTTTGGGAATCAATGGTGGAAGGCTAGGAAGCAGCACGGAGCCTCAGAATTGTTTTTCTGAAGTCAATATTTATGCCTGCACAATGTTTTGCATCTTTTTCTTAAAAAATTGACCAGAAGTGACATTTTAGCAGCCAACCAGTAAATCTTAAGGGCTACAGAGAAAAAAAAAAAAAGACCACAGAAAGAATGAGTGGCTGCTGCACCCTAAACCAGGCTCCAACCCCAGCTTCCCTCTGAGAGCTCGGCCTCAATCCAGCCCCATCCTGTTCCTAACGACCATTTAAGCAATTAACATCACTGCAGGCATGAGGGTGGTGTCTCAGGGGTTTAGTGTGACCTTTTCTTGCACCTTATCGCCAGCAAGTCCAGACAGGTCTCCTCAGGTTGCCACTCCCTGCAGCTACCTCATCCCTCACCAGAACTGCACATGATCCCAAATAAGCCCTAATTATCTCTAACAAGCCAGGCTGTCCCACAGCCCCAAGCCTTGATGGAGGTACCTCTAGCTTTAAGGCTGCCTCTGGAGATGTGTTCTGCTTAAAATAAAGGAGTTTTAAGGGTAATTTCTTTGAGTTTCACCTCAGCGCCAGGAGGCTCCTGCCTGACTCCAGTGTTTCATCACAAGCAACACCCCCACCCCACCCTCACATTCCCACAGTACATGTGGTATCTTTATAACTCCAAATCACTCATTTCTACTCATTTTCTATAGCCACTAAAGGATTTTGAGAGAAGAGCTGGGACAGAGCCAATGCTGCCCTCTAAGGCTGGTTCCTGCAACCATGCAGCACCAAGGAAAGACCCCACAGCTCAACACCAGCACAAATCATCCCTCTTGTATCCAACACTGGAGTATGGAATGTTTTTCATGCAGTTTTCCTCCCGTTCTGCAGTTCCTGAAGCTGTGCATACCACGAATGTCATGGCAAAGCTGTGAGATAACCAAAAGGAAGCTCCCAAGAAGGAAAAAACGATGGGAGACATGGCGCAGCACAGGCAGAAAACCCTCCCATTCATAGAAACACTTATGGAGGTCATCCAAAACCTGGCTAAATGCTTAAAACTTCCAGTTCAACTGAACTCCTGATCTGCAGGATTTGGGAAAAATAAGTCAAGGGAAGATTACGTAGGTAGATAGGATGCAGGGAAAGTGGCTGTGCTACATCATCCTGCTGTGCACTCGCCCTTGAGAGGCTGATGGTGACCCCACTGCTGATCCAGCAGCAGCCAAAACACCCTCAGAGACGTCAGCCAGCAGCTAATAACAAAGAGTCATCCTCTCAGATCTCAAGGGAATATCCAGTGCTTACTGTCCATTCTTGGACCATGGATTACGAAGCTCCACCAACGAGTAAACACGAGCTATGAATCATGATGTGCCTCTGCTCTTGTTTCTTGCCTTCCCTTCCTCCTGCAAGGAAAAGCCATGACTGGTTACAAGGCAAATTCTCTACATAAAAGTGAGTTCCATGAGGAATGTTGCATAAAGATTCCCTAGAAAAAAAAATAACAGATTGGGAAGGTGGAAACTTCAACAGGAAAATTTAAAACAGATAAAATAAGTTTTAACATCTTTTGATACACAATGGTTGTGCAGGCACAAAGCTATCCTGGCAGAAATGGGGAATTTGGCAGAAAAGGGAACTTGACTGCTCTATCATGATTTAAGAGCCCAGTACACTAAGAGTTTATTTTAATCATATTATACTTGGAAATGAAAGCATTTTCAGCTCCAGTTTTGGTTCCAGATATTGGTGGCCATGAGTTGCTCACCAGCCTCTCTCTCTCCTTTTTGTGCTGCTGGTGCAGAACTGCCCTTTCATCCTGGACACAGTGGGGTGAGGTTTGAGTTCCCTCCACACCTACAGAAGCTCAGCCTTCAGGACAACTCCCTTCACAGCTCTCAGGCTCAAAGAAACAATGATCCTTTTATCAGCTGTAGCTCAGGAGGACAAAAAAGCAATTCATTAAGATCCAAGTGTATTCCAAGTGTACAACTACAAATTCTTTCTTATTTTTTTCAAACCTGCAGAACCCATCTGCATTTCAACCCAAAATACAGCTGGGCAGGACACAGGTGATACACGTACCTGAACTGCCTTGCTACACCCACTGTCACAACTGATCACACACTGAAGTGATTTGCACTTCCTCCCCACTAAGCTGTGAGTTGCCTCTCTTTCCACTACTGTAAAACTTATTGTCTTGGAGAAAAGTAATTCCTAAACCAGGAATTCATACAGGAGAGCCTTCTTTTTATTCTTCAACTAACAGCAGCAGAGCACACGAAGTACCAGCTCTTGGCAGTTCAGTAAAAAAAGGCATTTATATTTTCATGCTGATTTATAAACTTCAAAACACACATAGATTTTTTTTTCAAAAGCAACGTTCCTTACTTTCAAAAAATCCCCTTCACCTCTGCCCTGGCTGATGAGGTGTCTCCTGCTGTTGTGTAAGTGCACATGTACTTTCTTCAAGCTTAGTGCTTGTCACAAATCCAAAAACCCGAGTAAAGCTTAAACACTGGGAGCCATAAATCCAGAGCTGAATCCCACAGTCCTTTCACCTTGATCCAAATCCTCAGTCCTACTGTGGAAATTATCACTGGAGTCAAGCTATACATCCTACTCGGTGACCTCACCAAAATGGAATTTAAGATGGAAAAATCCTACCCTGGAAAAAGGTTGATTTATGAAGTGAAATAGGCAGGTTTCCCAGGGAATACTGCTGCTTGGAAGCTTGTTCCCAGGACTCTTGTTCCTTTACCTACACTAATGTAATTTGGAGACTAACAACTATCAAGTTCCTGGCTTGGACTAAAGCTCTGGAGTAGCCCAAAAGCTCCAAAATATGACAAAGGGGATGAGATTCCAGATGTCCAAGTAACACCACTCACTAGAAATCTCCTGCCTGCTCCTGTCACATTTTACAGCCTCATCAGCCATCACCAGATCAGGTGAGTTGGCTCTGCAGTCTCATGACTCCACTGGTATTATTATTTTGGGTGGGTTTATGTCTCTCAACAGGTCTCAGGTAGCAAAGGAGCTGGTCCCAAACTTCAGCAAGCATGGATGCAGCAATCCCATTCTCCCTTTATGTATTAATCGCTTCTGAACGAGGGCCAACAGTTCTAGTGAGATTAAAACTTGTCACTGCATTCCTGCCTGGCAAAGAAAAGAGGAATGTCATGTTTGAGACAGGCCTGGCTGACACACTTTGCTTTGGAAAGGATTCTGAGACTTCATTCACTTCATTTAAATTTAAATAGAAAAATACCCACCAAAGTTGTTCCTGAGTTGAGATTTGTTAAGCTTTCCCTGACAGAAAGGTAAAATAAAGCTTCTCCAAGCATAAGCAAGTAAAAAAAAAAAATATCCAGGCACATCAAGAGATGTCAAAGCAAATGTGACGCTGCTATGTGAAAAAAAGGTTCTCACCTTCATCTAACTCCAAAATTATAAACCCGAGTCTCTACTTTTTAAGTTCAAACAACTCTTCTCACACACAGGTTGACGCAGAATCACTGAGTAACTGTCCTCCCCACAACCAAAGGAACAGGAATGTATCTTGTCCTTGAAAACCTCTGCAGAAACCAATTTTAGGGTAACAAAGGGTGCCTGGAAATTTGCTCAGGGGGAGTTTTGTCTTCATCGGTTTTATTTGCTTTTCTCCCCAGAGTACTCAGCACACACTCAGTCATATGTTTAGGGCTGCCATGGTCTTCACCAAGGTGATGTGGTTGGTGGGGTCTGTCTCTGTCCTGTTGTCTGCACAGTTGTTCTTCATGGCCAAGACCTTCTGCCGGTGCCTCTCCTCCTGCCGCTTCTTCTTCTCCAGCCTCTGCTGCTCCTTCTTCTGTTTTTTAGCTACCTGAAAGGGAAGGGTGAAAACACAAAGTTCAAACCACACTTCTTCTGCTCAGCTGGGGAAAAATAACACACTGGAAAGGAGACAAGCAGATATCAAGGCAGCAGCCAGAGAACATTCCTAACTATTTATGAGGACTTTATTTCAGGCTGTTTTGGGAAGAGTGCCACAAGTCACTAGGAAATGTTTGTTATCAGAGAAGTCACAGCTGCAGCAATGATAAAATGCGGTGAGCAGAAACTCTTTTTGATTGGAAGAAAAGAGTTGCTGAGTAAGCAACCCCTAATTCTTAAAGGGTGCTCACATCAAACCCCCCTCACGCACCTGTGGGTTCCTGCTGGCTTGGTTCTCTCCACTGGATCCAGCCTGTCCTTTGTTGTTTCCTGTTTCACTTTGATGCAAGCTCTGATTTCCAAAGATTCTTGAACCACTTCCATTCTCCTCCCACAGTGTTTTGCTGCAGGATTTCTGATCCCTGCTCTGGGGTTCCTGCTGCTCCTCAGTACCTACCAACAACAGGTTTTCCTCAGACATTCTACCCAGGAGCTGTCACGCTGTCAGCCAATTCCTTCTTCCTGAATTTCTGGAGCAGTGCGTTTTTCTGGAAGCTGGATTGAGGCTGCCCTCACTAACAACCTTCCTGAGCACAGAAGGCTGAAGTGGGAGCACACAACAGCAAACCCCATCTGTCCTGCTGCTGTCCCCAGGGAACATGGACATCACATTCACCTGAAGCCCCAGGTGACAAACTCTGTGCACTCACTTGTTCCTTCTCCTTCCTTCACTTGTAAGATCGCAAATATTTCAGATTCTATGTTGTAATCCTCCACTTCCAGGACGTGGCTTGCTAAATCCATGTCCTGTCCACAAGAGAAGGAGAACACTGAAGGAGTTCAAATCTCTGACACACATTCACTTAACCACCTGCACCACAGAGAGGGGGCTTCTGCTTTTATGATTGTTCAATTAATGCTTCATTTCTGAAAAAGGTGAGGGAGGAGCCCTTAAATTCCTGAAGATATCAAGAAAAAGGAATATGCTCTTTCAGCATAATTGTTTCACTCTTGGCCCTTTCTGTTCTAAGCATTTGCACAGTAACAACAGCCAAGAGTCACAGATTATCCAGTTATGTGGGATATTCAATATCCTCAAATTATTTCAAATCTTACGGGATTTGTTTCCAAGTGAATTTTCTGACAGATTGCAAGACAAGCTTTCCAGAATTATTAGGTATCCACACAGAGTAGGTATTTCATCTGCATTTAAGGGTTGACTCCAGGATGAAATCCATCCTGGTTTAGGGCTGTGGTACTGAAATAGTTCAAGGTGAGCATTTTTTAGAATTTTTCCCAGAACTACTTTCATGTATCAAGGACATTTGAACATTAAGCACAAAAAGGTTCCTCAGTACTTACTGAACACCCTGTTGCATTGCACACTTTTTGTACAGCATTTTCCATTTCCGCTTCAGTCTCATCCTCAGAGTCGCCCTTCTGTGGCTTCACTTCCTCTGTCTTATTTGCATTGTTTTTGCAAAGCATCTGAAGAAAAGCAAAGCCCAGCAGATAACACAGCATGCAATCAAAAAAAATCTAATAAATGTAATTATTATTGAACACTTTTCTCAGAAACATTGTGTGTCAAAGCATTTTGGAAATATCATAACTTCCATCATCACTGGAGGTTTCCCCTCTCTCCTGCACTACTCTCATGTACTACACCACCATGAATGCCAATAAACAAGCTTATAAATGGATTATATGCCTGTGTGCAGAGACGCTCAAGCACAGCACAAGATCAAAAAGTGACATATGAAGAGGACAACTGCATCCAGATGTTGCATTTCCAGCTCTTTCTTCCCTTCCTTTTGTTTTCCCACATGAGGTGCATGAATATGTAATTTAGATGTGGTTGCTTCCAGACAGCCCACACCACAGCATCAGGTTGGGGATTGATTTCCAGGCCAGAAGTTGGAATCCTTCACAGCCTTTCTCAGGAGAGCTGGCGGCAGGAGCTAAAACGGCCTCAGGGCTTTGCTAACCCAGCATGACACAGGGACCACACTCTTCCCTCAATCCCAAGACAAATGAGAAAGGAAATCAACTGCCAACATTCATCAGCTTTATTTATTACCCACAGCTGGCTCAGGTAATTCTGTCACAACCAACCTCCACCTGAAGATATGCCGGAGCTTCTGAGTCATCGTTGATCCTCCTCACGCTGTCATAGTGCTCCCCATAACGATAAGCAATGTGCAGCTCCCTCACATTGCTCTTGTCTGTGCCCCGGATCTACACAAAAGAAATAAACTGCAAATGAGGATTTGGAATCAACCTCAGCATCAGATTTGTCCAAGTATTAACTTTCTTGGGCAGGAAGTGAGTACGTCACTACCGAAGTTTTATAAACAGGAAGAGTTGACCTAAAAATTCAGCTGTGCCTCCAGTAACAACAGAGCTTCTGCCTCAAGGAGAAGGTTTGAAAGCCAAATACTTAACGTTGGTCAGTTGTATCATAACAAACAAAACGCGGGATGAAAATATTTCTGTGGAAAGCTCAGAACTATTTCCTAAACTTTCCACAGCATCTATCAGTTTTACGACCATCTTCCCACATCCAACTTCATCAATGCTCCCAGGGAATGTACAATATCATTTTCCCCTCAAATATGAGGAAAGAGAGTCCATTCAAGTGATGACCACAGTGGAAACAGTTACCCAGAATAAGTTTTGATCTGCAGCTGGGACAAGATGCTTTTTTAACAGGATTCCAAGTGGCTGTGTTTTGGTTTTAAAAGAAAGCCAATCCATGAAAATGTATTAACTCTACTCAGGAACTCTGTTAACAATCAAATGTCCCTTTGCTTTGTCAGCACCAAGTACAGCAGTTTCCATAGAAAACTCCTGCTCTGATATTATCTGCACTGACAGCAAGAATAATTCCTACCCTGATCATCAAACTGTTAGCTAAGAGCTACCCAGCATTCCAGCTCCTGCCAGAAATGCAGAAAATCCCACTGCACTTGCAAACCTTCTTGGCTTGACGTGTCAGCCCGAGTTCAGAGGCCTGACAGCTCTCCCAGAGCAGACATCAGTAAGCAAAGGACCAGAACTGCTTTGCTTTAGGGCTACAGTTTCTCAACCCTTTTACGTCTATGAATCGCCTTATCTCCACTCCCAGACCATGCACCAAGTCACCTTTCAACCCTGCCTGTGGTTTGTGCTGCACTCATAACTTCAGGTTTCCCAACAGTTCTCCATTCATCTATTTCACAGTTACCTTTAGATTCCAACTCAACATTTGGTTCTCCTAACTCCTGCTTTTTATTCTATTAGGTTATTCAACATGTTGGAACTCAGTAAGCTTTCTTTTCCTCTGTCAGTGCTTGAATAGGTATCTAACAAATCCCAAAGCTCTTGAAAGATTATTCTGAAAATTAGCCAATTTAGCTCTCATTAGAGAAGCTTCTCTCCACTCTGGAGCAAGTCCAGAGGAGGCCACCAAGAAGATCAGAAGTATGGAGCAGCTCTCCCATGAGGAAAGGCTGAGAGAGTTGGGATTGTTCAGCCTGGAGAAGAGAAGGCTCCAGGGTGACCTAACTGTAGCCCCCCAGTACCTGAAGGAGCCAACAATAAGATGGAGAGACTTTGACAAGGCCTGAAGTGTCAGGACAAGGGGGAATGGCTTCAAACTGCCAGAGGGCAGGGTGAGATGGGATATTGGGAAGGAATTCCTCCCTGTGAGGGTGGAGAGGCCCTGGCACAGGCTGCCCAGAGAAGCTGTGGCTGCCCCATCCCTGGAAGTGTCCAAGGCCAGTTTGGACGGGGCTTGGAGCAACCTGGGCTGGTGGAAGGTGTCCCTGCCCATGGCAGGGGGTGGGACTGGATGGGCTTTAAGGTCCCTTCCAACCCAAAGCATTCTGTGGTTCTATGAATACGCTGGACCGTAAGTAAAAGCTGCAGCTCTAAATCATGCCCAGCTAACTACAGCTACTGCTCGTTTTTGACAGATCAGGAAGTTTTCACACTGTTTATATTCATCAGCAAAAAATGAGGCCAAAATGTAGAAATGTTTCTTCTCACCTGCCACAGTGGAGCATAGAGCTGATGAATAACCACATTGATTTGATTGTTCCTTGCAAAGGCCACAATAGCATCGTTGCCAGCAAAGGTCCCAGGCTTGGCCAAATTGGTAACTAAAGGAAAAAAACATTTAGAAGAGTTAGAAACCTAGTTTCTGACACTTCCAAAAGCACTGGAGGGATAACAAGTAGTGAAATTTCAGCATGAGCACAAGAAATTCTGGAAAGGAAATCCCAACAGTGAGTGTTCAGGCAAGACTTTGGCAGCAACAGAAGTTAATGCATTTAAATGAAATGCCCACAGAAACCTCTAAAAAAAGGCAGCACACCCTTAGACTAAGGCCACTGTCTCTGTTAGCTCAGAAGGAAGAGTGCCACGTACTAAGTGACCAAACCACTTCCATGCATCACCTGCATAGTACCTGGCACATCCTCAAAGCTGGTGGGACAAAGGCTGTATTCACCTCTGCTTTGGATCTTCCCCTGGATTCCCAGTATGAAACATTAAGTGCCAAGGAGAATGAAACCCAAAGAAATCAGTCACTTACCAAAACAGCCAAATACCCATGAGCATTCAAGGAGAACTAGACAATTTTTCTGAAGTTCCTTTTGCAAACACTATTTTTTTTTACTCCTTCCCTTTTTTGCCTCTCATTCCTTCTCCAAGTTTCTCCTAAATTTAAACAATTTCCAAGACAAATTTAATGCAAGTTTAACAGCTCATCTTTCTACAGCATTTACAGAGACAGAAATGCAAAAAATTTGTAAAAACCAGAGAGGAGCCCTGACATAGTTCTGGGATGAGGAACTGATGAGTAAGAAGGTGTTCCAAGGAGATGGAATCCCACTACGCAATAAGCCCTCCCAGGCGTGCCCTGTGGAGCCCATACTGTGTTTCTCAAAGGGCACATCATCCTCCACAAACGGCTCAAAGTCCTCCCTCTGCTTCACCATGTAATCCACTGTTTCCTGCCGATGCCTCAGGTGGTTCCTGGAATGCCCCTCAAGCTGGTCACCCAGGGCCCGAAACAAGCAGTTGCTGTCAAAAGAGAAACCACAAGTTGGCATGTCTGAGGCACAGCATTAAACAAACACCTGGTGCAGAAGGAATATGATTTTAAAGGGAAAAGAGAAGAGCTATGCCCAGTTTGTTTATCAAGGATAAGAATATGAAACAGCACCTGTACTTGAATGGCTTCTGCTACTGCAATGGCTGGTAAGAATATAAGATGAGTGATCACGTCATCAGAGGTGGTAAAAGTGCTAGGTGGGTGGGTGGGCCAAACTGTCTTAAACTGACACTGGGACAAGTGACATAATGCAACAAAGGGCAAACAAACGACCTGCTGAGCCATTTCTCAGCAGAAACATCTGATGCTCCTTTCACCCAATCACTTACGGACCATCCTATGCTCTGCACAGCTGGTCTGTGGAGCCCTTGGCTCTCCTGGGGAACAGGGCTGGGACTGGCAGAGCTCTCAGGCTCTACAGAAACATGGAGCAGAGCAGAGCCCCCTGATCCTTGTAGGGTTCAGTGGGGAAGTTCTCAACCCTGCAGAGCACTGCTTCCTCCCCCCGCCCCAAATCAGGCGAGGAAGGCCCTCAGCACCCGGGGGGACGCAGACTCCTCACCACTGGGGGGACGAAGCCCCAGCCCCCGGGGGTCACACGGTTCTCTCCACCCGGGAGGTGAAAGCCCTCGGCCCCCGAGAACACAGACCCCCCACAACCGGGGAGGAGGAAGCCCTCTGCCTCCGGGGGCTGGAGCCCCGGGGAATCGCCGGCCCCGGGGGTGCCGGGGAGACCCGTCGCGGCGCTCACCCATCGCCCGGCACCTCCCGCAGCTTGAGGCCGAGGGCCCGGAGCTGCCCGGCGAGGCCGCCGCCGCCGCCCGGTGCAGGGCCCGGGGCCGATCCGGCGGGGGGGTTGCGGGGCCGCCGGCCCTTCCTGGCCCCGGCGGGCCGGGCCTTGGCCGCCTGTTTGCGGGACATCCCGGGCGGGGCGCCGGGAGCGGGCACGTGACCGCGACGCCGGGAGCGTCACGTGACCGCGGCACCGGGGGAGGTCACGTGGTGGCGACATCGGGAGAGTCGCGTGACCAGGGCACGCGGAGCAGGGCACGTGACCGCCCATCCCGGGGGATTCCTGCAGAAGGAGAAGGGCAGAGAAGGGGCCCTGGAGGGAAACTGGAGAATCACAGGGTGGGAATTGCGAAGGGAAGGAGGGTGCAGCCGAGCCTCGGAAGCAGTGCATCCGCGGGGAAAGGCCGGGGAGGGCTGCGAGAAGCAGCACCGCAGATCACTAATACTGTGCCCAAAGCTGCTAGATTCCAGCTAATTAGCTTCTTCTGCTAATTGCACTAATGCCTCTCCCTGCTGCCCAGCAGAGCTCCCGCCCGTCGCCGAGACGTCCCACCGTGACCACACGGGTGGGCGCCTTCTGCGCCCGTTATAAGCCAGGACGAGCCGCTCCGGACTGTGTCTGTTCAACCTCAAATCACCGCTCCGAAGCGAACTAAGGGGGTGAGAGGATGGATTACCCACGAGGTGGTACCAGGAGAACACGGCTGAGAGCAGCGGCGGGTTGGGAGAGCTGAGACTGCAACTATTAATTAAATGTGATAAGGCTCATAAACTGAATCTTCACGTCTTGTTTCCTCAGGCGCTGGGGGAAACTCCTCAGAGGGGGCTGGAGAAGAGGCACAGCAAGAACACTGGTGACTTGTCCAGAGTAGGGCTCTTGGGGAGGATTCTCTGCCATCCTTGGCACCACAGCTCTTCCACTCGCCCCACAGCAACTGGTTTAAGAAGTCACCCACCACCAGCCCCCATCAAGGCTCTACCCCATGATTCTAGTCTTCCTTGCCCTGCTTTTCTCTGCCAGTATCGCAACAGATTGCCCAAGTCCAGAGGAGCCCACCAAGGTGACCAGAGGAGCACTTCTCTCATGAGAAAAACTGAGAGAATTGGGATTGTTCAGCCTGGAGAAGAGTAGGCTCCAGGGTGACCTAATTGTGGCCTTCCAGGACCCGAAGGAGCCGACAAGAAAGATCGAGAGACACTGTTTACAAGGGCCTGGAGTGACAGGACAAGGGGGAATAGCTTCAGACTGACAGATAGTAGGTTTAGGTTGGATATTAGGATCAAATTCTTCACTGTGAGGGTGGTGAGGGGGATGGAATTCCCAGAGAAGAAGTGTCCAAGGCCAGGTTGGTTGGGGCTTGGAGCAACCTGGGCTAGTGGAAGGTGTCCCTGCCCATGGCAGGGGGTGGAATGGGATGAGCTTTAAGGTCCCTTCAAATCCAAACTATCCTGGGATTCTGTGATTCTATGAATTTCTGTGTAATTCCAAGCTCAGAAGGCACATCCAAATGGCTTTGTGATAAACACTAAGAAAACAGTCCTGGGGATACAAGAAGAGGCTTCACATCATGATGATTTTAAAGTTGTATGTTATTTTTAAGTCCCTTTTCTCCAGAGTCACAACAACCTGACCCACAACTCAGCACAGGGAGAAGCTCACAGCAGTTATCACCAGTACCTTCTGGGATGTTTGGCCTACGGGCATGTGAGGATTTTACTCAGGAATGACACAACTGCTCTTTTATTTCTATTTCCTGCCATAAACAATTCTGTACAAAGCATTTCATAGAAACACATTTTCTTATGCAAACACACTGAAAGCAGGAAAACAGGATGAGTACATAAACTGACTGCAAATGATTAATGAGGCAGTAATTAGCCTGAGGAGCATTAAAGGGTTGTGGGCAATTCAGATAAGCACAAGGCACATGCCAGCCAGGGAGCATCACTCGTGACACCAGGGACAAAGCAAAGCCAGAATCAGGGCTTGGCTGAAAACTTTGCCAGTGCAGGACAACAAGAAACTATTTTTTCAGCACATCAGACAGAAGGCACAGACAAGTCACCCCCACCCATTAATGGGACACAGAGCAAACAGACATGGAGCATAGATTCATCCCACCTAGTTTTAAACTTCCTAATTTAGGAGCATAGGTGTCTGTTCGAGCTTCCAACCTCTGCAAGATGGTTTCATATTGATTTAATAATTAAGAATCAGGAAATTTTAAGACATTTTCCACTTTGGACATGGAAACTGACAAAGTAAATTTGAAGCTTCTAAAGCACTGTAATAATGGCAGGTCTGTCTTCCACTTTCCCAGATCTTTTTAACAGCACGGAATGTCAAATGCAATAGAAAATTATCCTATTTTTAAACACGAGTCTTGCAGTTCACCAGCCCACTTGCAGATGTTACTGCACTTTGAGTCCCACTTCTGCAGCTGAAAGATCTCCAGGCTCCTAAAATCCAGGGTCACCCAAAAGTCCATCAAGCACCACTACAGGCCATGTCAGCAGAAACACAAGCAGGAGTGCTCAGGCACTTTGACGAAGTTTGCTTACGACAAAGCTTCTATTTCTCAGCAAATAAGAACAAGCACTGCTCACCTCATCCCCCCACCAGCAAGTTCAGGAGATTAGAGCCATCCTGAACTCCTTGTCCCCCTCAACTGCAGTTGTTTCATTTCTTTCTGTTGCTTTCATTCTTTCTGTTGCTCCTCTGTAGGAGAGAGGGGCTGGGACATGGGGGCACAGACAGTTTGAGCATTCAGGTGCACTTGAGGCTACTCATGAGTGGTACTCCATGTCTTCTGCTGGTAAGACTGACCTAGTCCATCTTTTTGGGATTAGAGATCCTTCCTTTCCTTCCTTATTTCCTTTGCTCCATTCTGCCACAGGATTCTTGCTGAGAAAACACCTGGATTTTACCCCCTCAAATAAAAAGGCAGAAAGAAATTAGAGACGGAGGGATTTTGTTCAGGCATTTTTTTCATACAAGAAAAAAAATTCATCAGACAAGATGAATATTCACAAAACCGCTCAGGAATGGCACTCCTGAGTGCATGAGGTTGTGTCCCAAAAATACACTAACCTTATTTTTAACTTCCAGATCTCTCTCATGGATCTCTGAGATCCTCTGTGCGCCTCGGTCATGCTTCAGTTTGCACTGGAAGCCCTCTGATGGCTGAAACCAACTAGGATAAGAGACATTATAATGTCTTGATAATTATTGGACATTCATCACTCACGTTAATAATCTCAATCTCATTCTTCTCTTGGTGCTGTAGGGTAGTCAGTATTGCTAAACCAGGGGACCCCTGGTGGTCTAGTGGTTAGCTTGAAAGGTAAAAGACCTTTCCCAAAATCTTCTTTCGCGAAGACTGGCCATACTCATTGCTAAACCAAGAGCAAATTTCCTATCCAGAGCACTCAAAATTGGTGATACTTATGATCTAATTCAAGCACTGCATTCAGCATACCAACATCAGTAGTAGATAATTCCCCTAAATCTGTAACTGTCCAGCAAAGCGCTGTTTAGAGACCAATGAAAATGCTTTCAACAAAGAAAGTTCTAATTTCTAATTTAATAACAACGGTAGTGTCTGGCTGTCACAGCTATGCCATGGAGTCTGCTTCTGGACAGGAATTGCCCAGTGATGTTATCAGTCATTGTAAACTGTCTTGGCTGGGAAGTTAATGATTAACTCAGGTCCCCATCTCATAAAAACATCATATTGTAAGAGCGCGACTCACTTAAGGCTGTCACTAATCAATCCTGCATACAGCAGGAATACAGCAACACATAAAAGGAGCCAGAGACTAGCGAAATCCTTCAGCCAGGGGAAGACAAGCTGCAAGGAGGTGTATCTCCATGGAGAAATCCACTGACAAGCCAAACAAGGAAGACGGATGGCCGGCTCTGCGAGTACTGCAGGCTGAGGAGGACGGTCCTGCGCCCGCGGCAGGAGGTGCTGCAGAAATGAGCAGGGCAGGACCCCTAACACAGAATACAAATCAAGGGAAGAGACTGGGATTCACTGAAGAGTGTATTAAAGACATGGAGAGACCTTCAGGCACAGAGCAAGACAGTCATGCTGCCTTCAAACCAGCAATTTTGGAAAGAGACTGTCCACACTCGAAGCCTCTTGTTGTGCTAATGAACACAGACTGTCCCAAAACGTGCACATTGGAAATGAACCACCAGTGTTCAACCACATCCGTGGACTTGGATTGCCTGATCTGCTTCAACAAGTACAACATCTACAGAGTCCCAAAGCTCCTGGACTGCCAGCACGCCTTCTGCGCTGTCTGCCTCAAGCTTATTCTCAGGAAAGTGGAGAATACCTGGATCATCACCTGCCCTCTGTGCAGAAAACCCACTTTTGTGTCAGAAGGGCTCATCCGCACACTCCAGAATAAAGAAGACATCCTGGAGCACTTGGAAAACCTCGAGTCAGACCCAGAGGTGCACATCCCTGCCATGGGGCTGGACAGCAAGAGCTGGACTCAGAGCAGCCAAGACATTTTAAACACAGAGGAGAATGTTCCAGCAGACACCAGCATGGCTGTGCAGAGACTTGTACTGCTCCTGCTGCTCGGGGTGATCCTCGCCATCCTCATCCTCCCCTTTATGTACTTGGGGAGGGTCAAATGGGTGATTTGTCTCCTGCTTACTCTGGGGTTGGTCATGTCCATGGTGCTTTGCTGCACTCCTAAATTCCACTGGAGATGCAAGAGTGACTCGCCCACCTCCTGTGACAAGGAGACCCACGTCGTTACTGTTGCCTGAAACAATGAATTAACGAACGTGTCCCGGAGGTAACGGACTGGCCCTGCCTGCAGAGCTGCAGGTTGGGCATGCCAGTGAATTATGGACTTAAAGACAATCATTCACAGAATAAATTCAGCAGCTCGCTAGGCTGGCTCAATGCCAAGGCACAGTGTTGTTAAATCTTATTTCTGGAAACAAAACTCAACTATTTATATGTTGATATTTATGTGTTTTCAACAGGATTTTTATCCCAGGCTAAAAATTCTGTTGGTTTGCTTTTGCCACTTTGTTCTTGTTCGTGTCCTCTCCTGATTAGCCCTGCAGGATGTTATCTGGAACACCCGGGAGGTAATGTCCTGGAACAGCCTGTGGTTGTGTTTTCCTG